TGACTATCCTGGAGATCTGCCTGATGTTGCTACTAGTGATAATTCAAGGTTATTCTTCAATTTCGGTTTTGAAGGAACACGTCAGACCAGCACTATTAATGGACGTAACCTAAAACTACCATCAGCATCACTGGCACAGCTTGATGCAAGTGAACTAACTGATATTGATGATAAAGAGTTTTGCAAACAATTGGATGAGAACAATAAATGCAACCGTAACAATCAAGTAGAAGTAATATCTCAGGATTGCTACTGCACTCATGTCGTTGATGCAGAGGCTAATCAGTCCATTGAATTAGTGATATCAGCTACTGGACCAAACCCAATGTCACTAGGCAACTTTCTATTTGCTCATCCAGTACATCTTCATGGTCATTACTTTCATGTTGTTGATATTCAATTTGGTGAGTATGACGATAATGGAAAACTTACCACTGGCAACAGTGATTTAAATTGTGGAGGTGATACATTATGTGTTAAACCACGCTGGAAACCTGGTAATGACTACTCTGCACGTAATGAAGTGACAGGTAAAATAAATCCCAAAGCCCCACTGAAGGATACTCTGTTAATACCAGCTGGTGGGTATGCTGTTGTGTATTTTAAAACTGATAATCCTGGTTGGTGGTTCCTGCACTGTCATATTGAGGTACATCAATTGGAGGGAATGGGAGTCATCATTAATGAAGGAGGGTTTAAAACACCACCGCCTGGAGGAATGTACAAATGTGGAAATTTTTCATTGATACCAAATGATTTTAATGCAGCAATTGCTGTCACTGCATCACCAATACCAGAACCAACGGTAACAACAGTAACAACAACAACAACGAGAACAGAAACATACACAACAACAGTTCAACCAACAGGAACCAACAGTGGTGGTGGTGGTCGTCGTGGTTGTTTTCCTCCAGATGCAGTAGTGCGTACAAGAAATGGTCCATTGCTGATGAAAGATGTTGAGATTGGAATGGAAGTTTTAGCTGTGAGTTCTAACCATGAACTAGTCTATAGTCCAGTTATATTGATGTTGGATGTTGATGACATTAAACTAGCAAATTATACTATCATAGAGCCATCAGGCAATCACAAGCTGACACTCACACCAAACCACCTTGTTCATGCAAGTAAAACAAATGACATCTCATCGTCTGTACCTATATTCGCTTCACAAGTGAAAAAAGGTGACAAGATATTTGTTGCTGAATCTCCTGATGTTATTGAAGCAGTTGAAGTCGTTAGCACATCAAGCAAAGTCATCAAGGGTGCGTATGCCCCACTGACAAGAGAAGGTACTGTGGTTGTTAATGATGTTGTAGCTTCTTGCTATGCTGTTGTTAATGATCATCAATTTGCTCATGCCACGTTTGGCCCATTACGTTATTTTTATGATACTTTTCACACTTCCCTCCATAGCAAACAGAAGCAAGGGATTGCTTGGTATCCTTCAATGCTCCACTCACTAGGTAAAGTATTCCTGGATGACAGCAACTACAAGCCAAAGAAAGTTGAAGATCTGATCAAGAGCAGTGACTAGTATTTTGTAGAGTGTTTCGTAGAGTGTTTCGTAGAGTGAACTTTAATTATTGTTACAGGAACTTATTATGTAGGAGAAAAACAAAAAATAATAATAAAATAAAGATACAATTACTATAGTATTCCTTGCTATGCATGTGGCTTTAGCTGCATGTTTTTTTGCTGCATTGATTTCATAATTTTTAGTTTCATAGTTTAATTTATTGTGCTACGACAAATTGCACACTAAGCTAAATTTAGAATTATCATTAATAATAATACAGTATAGCAATAGCATTAATTAGTTAGCATAGTATATACTGTACTAAAAAACAAAACAATAACGTTTAAAATAAAAAACCGCTAACATTTTAATATTAGCTAATTGCTGTATGTGCATGCTAATATGATTATTGTTGTTGTCATTATTATTAGCAGCAAGAGTACATTATATTAAGCTGTTAAAAAGTAACAATCTGAACAGACCATCCTGAGATTAAATGTCTCAGTAAAGAGAGAGAGGATTTATGCAGAAAAAAAGGAACAGCAGAAAAGCTAGCATAATAAAACACACACATACACCTTTCACCATTCAAACTATGTACAAAAGTTCATCATCCCCATCCCTAAATTGGTCTACTTCTATGACACTAGTTACGCTGTGCTCTTTCAAAAATAATAATAATGTACAATTTACAAGTGAAGTAGCCTTACATACTCATATTCATGCATGCATTTCTTAGTATTACTGTACTACGTCTATTCAATTTTCCTAGCAAGCTTAATTGCTATTCACGTGACTCTCATCACTCATATCACATGACCAGAAAGTGATATGATAGTGAGAAAATTGGGTCAACCAACCTGCATAAACTGTAGTGCATCTTATCAATTGATTGCATTCTTCAAATGTGGTAACAGTTGCTATTGACAACCACTCCATGGAGATGATAGCAATATTCACACTATAAATGGTGCCTATTACAGATATTGAATTAATATTGAACATAACACTGCTTATGGACATACCATTACAATTAATAGTGTTGCTATTTGTGTGTGTGTTCAATATATCTTTATAGAATGACCTTAAAAAGTGCATGGTGGACAAAGGAGGCATGACACTGTGGGCATAATCTGCATAAAGGTAGATATAGAGGTGGGTATAAGATAACATTATACAAACTATTCACTCCTTCTAAACTCTAAACTGTGTACATTGCATTAATTCCTCCCCTTTTCTATCAAACATACATGTAGCTCTTAATTCCTTTCTCCCATCTCTCTCTCTCTACACAAGAGTACATTCACTAATGATAGAAGTAATTTCTCCTGTACTACATTAGTTGTCAGCACAGCAAATTGTCAGTATTCTGTATGAGAGAGAGAGAGAGAGAGAGAGTAATGTAGTACAGGAGAAATTACTTCTATCATTAGTGAATGTACTCTTGTGTGTATAATAATATACATGTATGTGCATAGTATTTTGATAGCATTTTAGCCCATTAATTGATACTTTCTATTATGTAGCATCAACCATAATAGGTAGAAATCTATAAATAGGACAAGATATTTTTAACTTTATGCTGTAAACAAGTACATGTCTTTTGATGCATCACTAATAGATGCCTCACACACATCTCTTGATAGTGCAGCTTTCATTAACACCTTTAATTGGAGTGTCAATATAAATTGATTAATGAGCTATGTTAAGTGCTCTCATTCTTTCCCACTCCCTCACACACACACACTCTCTCTTATTTGTTGCAAAATAGTATAACCTATATGTGATATAACAAAAAGCTGAATGAGAGGGAGAAAATGCCAGCACAATAGGTTTTTGGTATTCTTTCCCACTCCCTCATACACACATACTCACGCACTATTTGATCAAAAATAGGGTTGGATATGTGATATAACAAAAAGCTGAATGAGACTGAAAGAGTAAAATAGAAAATAGTGAAGCCAGCACAATAGGTCTATGGTATGCTTGTATGTATAGTCATTAGTACATGTACATCTTACATTACATATGCAGTATAGCCTCTCTTAATGGCACCTCCATTTAACGGACAGCACCTAGTGTACCAATTACATTCCTTACTGTATAAAATAACCTCCACATAAAGGACACCTCTGTATAACAGAGACACTTTCTTAACTGTATCACCAAAGTGTCTATTATATAGAGGCTAGTCTGTATAAGTAATGATGCTGTGCTAGCAGTTACCATTGACACACATATCACATATATTCACACTATGTACAATGCTATACAAAAAGTGTTAAAATAATCACTATTATTCAGAGGAATTAGGTACAGATAAGATGACATAACAATTCCAGGAACTCTTCAGTGGAGCTGACAATATCACAAGTATATTCATAATGATTACAAAAGTGTTTAAAATAATTATTAAATTCAGTGGAATTCTACACACATTAATCAATACATTGAATTGCTTTACAAAAACAATTCAATGTATTTGGTTCACTGGTTATTTGTTACTTATTCCTGAGGTGGAAAAATGTATTCATTAGAAATAGCTATAAATTGACTGGTTCAGGTTAAATATTTGTACACAAGTAGACATGATATTAATATCCATGGCTACATATATCTTATAGATACAATTTACCTCATACCAATCTTTATGATAAGGCATTTTCATTATACATTGAGATTGAATGCCTATTTTAAGTACCAGGAATTGTGACTATGAAGGTAGACAGTAAGTTAGAAATAGACAGACATAATACAAATGCAATCGTAAAAA